CCCCCCCCCCCCCCCACCCCACACGCTAAACCCCAAACCCCGGATCCTAAACCTCAGCCCCACTACTCTGCTGCCGAGTGTCTGAACGTCGCCAGCCACGGCTGCTGGTGTCCAAAGGCTGAGGCGCCGCACAGGGAAATTGCAGCCAAAACCAGAATCCCAGTCCAACCCCAGCTTCTCCTGGGTTGCGGAGGGTGTGAGGGGGCTCTGGAGGTATCGAGTTCAAGGTGGAAGTGATGGAGTTTGGTGCTCGGTGTCCTTGTGCTCGGCAGTGCACTGTCTTTAGCGTATTGGGGTTTTTTGTCCTTACACGCTTGCAGGTTATGTCCATACTAACCTGCAGCCAGCCTGATGCCTAAGCACCCAAAAAGGGTCTCGACCTACAACCCTAAAGCTGCAACTTGAAGCTCGAACATGTGCTTCTGTCTGTCTGGGGCACGCATCCCTGATCGAGGAAGCCATCGAGATGACTGCCTGGGATCCCCTTCGGGGCTGGTTCTTGGTTTGATATAGGGGCCTTATTGAACAGAACAAGGGTTTTTGAGCGATATGATAAAAAAACACTAGCAAGTACTATTTAACCAAACCCCTTCATTCTGTTGCTAATTGGCAGATTGGCTTGAGGTCTTATGGCTTGGTGACAAGCATTTTGGCCTTCAAGATAAAACGTATCTCGTTTCAGTTGTGTGCTATGGGATATCGGGCTCAACTCCCATAACCCAAAACCCTCAACCCGCAACGCACAACCCCAGAAGCGAATGAACTAGAGAGCCGAGCGGCAGCGACACAGTTGCCCTGTATCCAGGCCAAATAATCCCACAATGTCTGGCTAAGTATTCAGGCTCCCTAAGCCCTACCCAGTGCATCAGAAAATCTGAGCCCTGCCGAAACCCCAAACCCTGCATCCTAAATCCCAAGCCCTGCCAAATGCCATGTGCCCCCTCCCCCACCCACCCTAGACCCTAAACTTCTAAACTCTAGACCCGCCCAACAAATTCAAAACGTACTACTGATCGACCTACTGGCTCACAACTGATCGGAAGCCCCCGAGCGATCCATCGCGCGCCAGGAAGACCGGCAGCACCTTGCCCTCGGGCTTGCTGTTGACCTCGTGTCTCCGAGAAGACACCATGCTGCTGAGGAGATTCTGTAAGAACCGGTGCAGCAGACTTCTACAGTACTGTGAAAGAAGTGAGTGATGATGTTTTGTTGCTGATGATGGCGATGAGGACGATGACAATGGATGCACCATCCCACTTGGATTCGACTGTAACGAGGATTGGGATGACCAGGCTGAGGTCTACGAGGATGCTGATGGTGGCAACAGCGTCTTGGTCTTTGCTGCGGCTGGTCATATTGTTGTGGCTGCTGGAATGTGACGACGGTTGCGGTGACTTTGCAAGCTGGTGCCACGGTTGGATACAAGCAGGGCGGCGAAGGAGCCGAGCACTAGCGAAAGAACGGCTACAAAGGCTACATCCTAAAAGCAAAACATCATGCAACATGCATAGTCTGAGCTGAGCTCTCATGTGCACGAAACGAGCAGCCCCGAATTGGATGAGCTTCGTGGACTCGGACACGGCAGAAAAGTCCACGTCCTCATTCCGTTAGCCGGGTTGAGGCCTGGAGGCTGAATGCTTTTGTCCTCCTGACTGTATTTTGGCCAAGCACTTCCGGTCTTTTGAGGCTGAGCCGACAGAGCCAGTGAGCCATTTGAGCGATGGTTCATGAAACGCTGGAAGCCGTTTGGCATCATTGAACCAGATTCACCATTATTCATCATCATCCTGTGGTGTAGCTGAAACAACCAAACACACAATCTTGCAAATTACACCATGAACCAACCCCTAAACCCCAACACCTATAAGCCCCAACATTTTAACTTTAATGCCCAAACACCAAATTGCGCATCCTAGGCCCTCAGTCGTAGGTCCATAGCCCTGAACTTCCTAAGTCCTCAACCCTAAACCTCAAGTCCGAGAACCAAAATCCTAAGTCCTAAGTCCGCAATGGGCGGAACTTTTTCACACACCGAAACAGCTCCTTACGCTCACTTTCCTGCTGGGGGTCTCTTTTTCGCGCCCTGTTTAGATCCTCAGGGTTTGGGAGTCTAGAGTCTGGGGCAGAAGGGACAACAGCATCTTTAAGGGGGCAAAAAAACCTATTTAACCGGCAATACAGGGTTTTTTTCACCCCCCCGGGTTTGGGGGTCTAAGGGCGAAGGAACAGAAGAATCTGTAAGGAGGCAACGAACAACCTAAGCGGCCGTAAAAGGCTTTTTTCGCGCCCTGGGTTTGCGGGTCAAAGGCCGAAGGAACAAAAGAATAAAGAAACATTAGACAGAGAGACAAAGAGACAGAAAGACAGAGACGCAGAAGTGCCGGGAAAGAAAGAGAAGGTGACAGAGGGAAAGCCACAGAGAGAGAGAGAGAGAGACAGCGAAAGAGACAAAACGAGAGACGCATGGAAACCAATAGGGACGGGGGAAAGCAGACATGAGAGAAAGAAGGAAGAGGAAGAAACAAACAGAGAATGAGAGACACAGAAACAAAGCGACAGACAAACAGAGTGACGGAGAGACGGAGATACAGGGAGAGTGGAAGAAAAGGAAGTTGAAGTTGGCAGGGAAACGGAGAAGAAAGCAGGAAAAGGGCCGGGTAAAGGAAGCGAGACACAGCAACGGAGGACCCGCGAGGGCAAGGAGCCTGTCACAAGGGCACAAGGCCCAGGAGAGAAAAAGGAGCAAACTGCTCGAAAGAAGCTAGAGAGTTTGAGAACAAAGTGCAAACCAAGCGTTAGAGACTAGAGAATTAGATAAACGGAAGCTGCTCGAAAAAGACTAGAAAACTTGAGAACACAAGAAGCAAACCGATCGAAGGATATTAAAAAATGTGAACAAGGAGCACACCGCTCAAAAAGGACTAGATAACTTAATAACAAGAAACACACCGCTCAAAACACACTAAAGAATTTGAGAACTCTGAGCTAAGCGCTCGTAAGAAACTAAAGAGACTAGAGAGTTTGAGAACAAAGGGCAAACCAAGCGAAATAAATTAGTCTTAGAGAATTTAAGATGAATGGAGCAAACCGCTCGAAGGAAACTAGGGAATGTGAGCAACAGGCGCAAACCGCTCGAACACGACTAGGGAATTTGTGATGAACAAGGAGCAAACCGCTCGCAAGAGACTAGAGAAGTTGATGAACAAAAAGCAAACCGTTGGATCATTTGAGCAAAAGCAGCAAACCGCTCGAAAACGACGTGTCAGAACATGAACCAAACCAAGCGAAAGAGACTAGAGATTTTGAGAAACTGGAGCAAACCGCTGGAAAACGACTAGCACAGGGAGCAAACCGTCCCAAAGAGACTGGAGAATTTAAGAACAAGGAGGAAACCAAGCGAAAGAAACTATAAAATGTAAGAGCACGGAGCAAACCGTCGAAAACAAGGATCAAACCGCTTGAAAGAGACTAAAGATATTGAAACAAAGAAGCAAACCGCTCGAAAGGGACAGAAACAGGAGCAAACCGCTTGGAAAAGACTGGAGATGCAAATACGCCCCTGGACAGCACGGAGGGGTTTCTTCGGACTCTGTCCATCTGTGCTCGAGAAGCTGTTGAGCACGGGCCTATCCGGGCAGAGAAAGAGCCTTTCCGACAGTGCCCAAAAAACCTACGGGGACCAAAACAATTCAGCCCCCAAATTCGTGAATAAGAACCTACGAGTAGAGAGGATCTGCAGATTCCAAGAGGGTGAACATATCAAAAGCTTTACACACACACACACACATGGTCCTCAAGCAGGTACTGCACGTTGCAAGGTCCGCCGGCCCCACCATCCATGCCTAGGCGGTGTGCTATCCCTATCTATATCTATCAAGATAGTTATTGATTCTGTTTCGCGTACTTTTGCAGCTTAGTGCGGTCCTCCTACTGAAACCTGGACCGACATGGGACACCAAAATATTTCAATCGAAACCGAACAAAAACAGGTTCTAAACGATATGGGTGCAGTGTTGCCCAGCGGATAGGGCGCCACTGGCCTCAGCCCGCACATAAATAATAACTGCATCCCCAAATAGGTGCGTTTTGAGAAGTATACACGAATCCACCCACAAAAACCAAAAAAACACACTTGCAGAAAACATGGCAACGGAAAATGACAGATGATGACATGTGGCATGCCGTCCAAGGCACACCCCCACACTAGAATTACTATGCTGCATACATCTGTATACTGCAATGTATCTTAACTATTTTTACTACAGATAATTTACATGAATGTGGCAACGACCTGATGCGGGTTGCCTTTGGTGTACACATACTGATAAGCCAGAAAGCAAAGGACTACTGAAGGAGCTAAGTCACACCAGGGTTGCCCACAAAGCTGACATTCTTGAGGCCAAATGTGAAAGCCCCAGCAGGTCCGAGGAATTGCCCGGCAGGCCAGGCGAATAGGCCGCCACCTGGACTTCTCGGGCAGGGCTTGAGTTTCAGGGGCTGGTGGGGCTGCTTCAATGGGGGCAGCAATTCGACTGCAAACATGCTTTTCGATAGTCAACGGAAGTGGATGCAGGCAGGTCGCATGTGCATGTTCATGAGAGTTTACTCGGAATGCAGAAGATACTGTTGATTAGTTGATGTGGATAGGCGGGCATTGGATAGGCAAGCATCAGTTTTTTTGCAGCAGCATCGCCATTCGCCTTGAAGCGGTATGCTTGCTTTTTTCACAAGCAGAAAGTCGGAAGGTCCTAGTTTGCTATTCTGTTAGAAACAACAGATCTACGTACTAGATATTACCGTTTTTGATGTGAGTGCCTTGTAGCTGCGCGTAGGGAACAGCTGTCTACGTGCATCATCAGAAACTTTTCTTTTCCTTCGAAGCCTCCGGCAGGCTTCCGGGTAAGGCTAAGACACCTGAAACCATCTATGTATCCTTCAGGGACGCTGTCGCACAACCCAGTTCGATGCTAAACATCGTAGCCGAAACATGGTTATCTCAAGCACTTGGCCCTACATTTCGATGTAGCCAACCAAATGTTTTGCTAAACGTCCGGCGTATGTTTCTCTGCATTGAGATCCGGAGACTGAGCATGGTGTAAGTATAGAGTTGACTTGCAGCCAAGACACTGGGCACGTTAATGCACATGGAGTCCGTCACATGGTAGAGCCCTTGATCCGCAAACTTCTTCGAGGATTTCCAGTACATGCAGTGCATGTTGTTTATTCCGACATAGCGTACGTAACGGACATCTGTCAACACGTACTGACCCACAAACTCGTTGTGCCAGTCCAGCTCGTCTTCGACGACATTGGCTGGAACCACACCGCTGTCGGCTCCTTCGGGAGTCACCTGCGGCTTTCCCACACGCAGGTCCGGCAGGTGAAAGATGCTAAAATTTATCAAGTGCCACTGCAAGTCTCGGATTCTTGGAACGCAGCACAATGGTAGTTACACATGCCGAGACCCCCCCCCCCCCNNTCTGCCACGAACCCATTCTCATCCCTGGGAAGAATGCGGGGCTGCTGGTTGTCGAGGTACATGCCTTGGCCGACTCAGGGTAGACGGACAGGGGACAGAACTGATGACGCGACTTCGCCTTTTCAAACATGCATATGCTGGATTGGTTCAACAACCTTACCTGCCAGGCTTTAATGCTGCTATCACAAGCAGGTGTCTCAACTCAGGCCAACCGAGGCAGTGTCCTGCACTACTTCATGTACAGGACCCCCCAGCGACAGTGCGGCCCAGACGCCGAAGCGCCGATTGTCGTGACACACGTTGCCGCTTATGCGCCCCAAGGGCAGGTGCACGGGGCACACCTTGCCTGTGAACCCAACTGTTCCAGGCTTCAAGAACCCCTCGAAACTAGGGTATACTCTAAATGAACGCGCCATAAGTGATTATGGACCCTCCAATCTGCCCCGGTTTAGCAAACCAACTGGTGTCCTGCTGTCCTTTCCCCTGAGCCAGAACAGCAATCTCCACCAAACCCGAAGCCCTCTAAAGTTCTCAACTTCAAGCTGTGCCAAACTGGATTTCTAATCCAAAGCTTCGTTCTTTACAGTCTGACAGGAAGCTTTGGGACACAGAGTGGTTCGGGGCTCGGACTTCTGCATCCACCTACTTTGTGTTGTCTTGGTCTTGGCATGGTGTGTCGTCTCGTGCAGTTGCCACGTCCTTCGCCCCCTCCGTGCGGCTTATCCGTCGCAATCACTCGTTTGGTTCGGTCAACTGTTTACGGCCGGTGTGCTCATTTGGCTTGGATATGCGCCTCTATAGAGATATAGAGATATATGATATGTGTGCATATACCTATATGGACCTATATATGTATAATATGTATATATATATATATCCATTTATATGTATCTATATATATATATCTATGTATTTCGTACATGGTGTATGTGTAGTAGTTCTTGTTTGTATTCTGATTTTATACCTGGTTTCAAAGTAGCCGAAAACCACGGGCCTAACTGCTATAGCCTCTATGTATTACACTTTTGTATACAAAATAGGTATGAGAAAGTATTTTGTTGTTTTTTGCCTCTCGAACGGCCGTCAGCTCCAGGCTAGACATGCGAACCTGCAGCACAAACTAGTTAAGCGACGGAAGAATGCGAAGCAAAGATGCAACTAGCTAAACCGCCAAGCAAGTCGATCTTGCTGTGCAGAAGAAGGCGTGAGCTGCTTTGCAGTGCTGTCCGCTTGCTTTGGACAGAGACAGAACACGAGCCAGTGCACTCCATGTGAACAGTACATAGTTCTCAGTTTTCCGTCGGGCTCCAAGCAGAAACTCCAGACTTCAAAGCCTCCAACCCCCAGGCTCCACGGTCCTAAACCCCGAAATCCTTCGGTGCCTGTACCTGGCTACCTACTCAACCATTCAACCCTAACTGCGAAAGATTCGGCCCTGAACCCAAACACACACAGCTGGAGCCTTGCCTGCTGCATGCCCTCGGCCAGCTGGGTCCGCTGTGCCTCCACGTGCCGGTATCAATGCTTCGCAGTAACTATGTCTACTATATGTAAATATGTACTCATATATAGATACATGAACACACTATAGACATGAGTATAAGGAGCTGCATAAGATAAACTCTGTGAATCTGTCCATGTATGACTGCACAGAGGCAGTGCGGGTGTGGGTAGGGTAGGGGTGCCTGTTTTGAGAACGAACTCACTTCAAGTGAACTGCCACCTGCATCCCAAAAGGAGTTCAAGGGACCTGTACTCACTCTACACCCAGCGAACATACCGTCTCAGTCCACGCGGCCAAACCGTTCACTTTCCAACCCAACTTTATCAAATTGGCGCTTCCTGGCTCGAGGCTGTTGCAGATGGCATGCATGCAAGGGTTTAAGAAGCTTAGAGCTACGAGTTTAAGGCCGTTTTCGGCTTACAAACCCTTAACCCGGAAATCCAAATCTTGCGAGGAAGCTTCCAACGCCCGACAGAGCAACATCTAAACTTCGATACATCTACATAAACCTGCACCTTACAAACAACCAAAAGGCCTGAACCTCAAAAACAAGGCACCATATCCCTAACACCGCGTTGTCGACCCTTCCAGAGAGACCAACGTGGCACAGGCCTTTGAACCAAAAGCAGTTCTCCATGTTCACAACGCGGTTCCTGCAGGGACATCTCGCAGTGTGCAGTTTGTATGGAGGATCTGGGTAAGTGTCAGGTCCTTCACGCCTTGACCCGAGTATCGAATAGTCTCGATGAGTTGGCCTAGACCCGGTGATGACACGACAACCAGCCTTTACGGGGGCTGTGTACGGGTGCACCTCTCTGTCTCTGTCTCCCTCTGTCTCTGTCTCTGTCTCTCTCTCTCTCTCTCTCTCTCTCTCTCTCTCGCTATATATATGTATATATAGATACCAATATCAATATGGATATATCTGACATATATAGAAATATATATATATATGCACACAAACGCATACACCCCAATCTGCCATCCAATCCCTGACGAGACCTCCTGAAGGCCCAACCTTGTCACCCTAAACCCGAACAGCCTAAAGCCTCCCAAATTCCTTCACGCCCAGGACAGCTGCCTTATGAAGTCGTTGGTCATGCCAATAACAAAGAAACCGCCGAGCCGGCCGCCCTGCACGTCTTTTCGGCTCAAGGATTTGGTGGTTTCGCGAACTTAGGTTTTTAAGGCTGTGAGGGTTCCAAAAGTTGCAGAGTGCTGATAGGGCTTTTGATCTGTTTCACATGATATGCCCGGGGGCGGGTAGTTTAGCAGGGCTTTGCCGGTATGTATATGTACACAAACGAGTAAACAAAAACAAATAAATATACGTATATATACACATATATAT